CCGATTGGTAAATTCAGTGCGGACTGAGTGTATTTGCATCCTTTTAATCGACCTGTAGAAGAAACAGACAGAAATAGAAAAAATTGCACTAGTTCCGCACTAAATCTACCAATCGGAAACGCCATTAGAATCGGTCTGCTTAAGGTTTAAAGTCAGGCCGTCAGGCCTATAGCTTATTGCAGCAACGCGAGATGTCAGTACTGTCGCCCCTATAGTGTGCCCTAACTTGATAGTAAAAAAAAAATAGAAATCTGCATTTGGTTAAAGTGTGTGATGGAAAGTTTTTTCTTTTTTTTTGCGGAAATTCAAAGTATTATTCTGTTTTACATAAATAGGGTTGTAGTTTGGACCAACACAAATAATTTTGAACGTTCATCCGTCGGATTTATTCTTAAACAGTGTAGCTACAGGCGTATTTCCAACTATTCTTGCAGTAGCGAGAAAACTACAAGTTCAAAAAATTTGAAAAAAATATATGTCGTGTAGAATTGCAATAGTAGTTCGTAATAAAAATAACAGGAAACTTTATCTCTTCGTTTTGAAATAAATGGTGAAAAACCACTTTTTTTCAGTTTTTGCGATATAACTCAAAAATGGCGAGTCAAATTTGCTTACAAAAATTATGGATTAAGGTATATCAATAACCATAAAACATATATTTTTTTTGGAGTTTTTGAACACAAAGTTCAGAAAATGGGGGTTGACTTTAAACCTTAATTCACAGGAAACACAAAAGCAGTATATTCATATCGCATACAACCTATAATATTCGACAGAAAAATGATGTTAGCCTTCCTATACCCACATCCAGCCAGGTAAGAGACTCTATCATTTTCAGAACTGCACTGGCGTAACTAGCCATCTGACCTGGGGGGGGCCTAGGGTGGGCCTGGCAGAGGCGCCGATTTTTGAAAGTCCCCATAGGCGCAGGATAATATTTTTATAAATTTGTCTATAGGAGGAGGGGTAAGCTCGCCGTAGGCGTCGGCGGAGGCGATAATATTTTTCCGGATGCCACGCCTAAAAACGTCTATTTTATAGTGTATATATTTTTCTATTTTTTTTTTCTACGAGCATGCGAAAAGTGCTTTTTTCTGCACGCATTTTAGGCCATGAAAATATCACATCATTATTAAAATAATTATGCCTGGAACTTTTATGTCCTAAAATGTCTTATGTCCCGATTATTATCAAAGAATAGAGATGGAGAATAGCAACATTAGCAATATAAAGTAATAGAGCATAGAATTGACCACAAATAACGAAAGGACAGAATATTAATACCTCCCTAATCTAAGACTAATACGACTTGTATAATTCTTATACAAAGCTGTGTAATTTTAAATTACATACATGATACTGATACTACCACACGGAACGGAATGACCATTAAATACGTTTGTACTTTCGCATTCTCTACGAGAGCTCCGAGCACCCATGAGAGGTTGCTCATGGGAGCACCTGCCCCAATGCCCCCTTGTAGTTGGGACCAGTGGCCTAGGACCTGTTATTGCGACTTGGAATCTTTGAAAAAGTAGAACAGTGAAATTATAGGCGATTAGCTGACTAAACCGGGCTTAAATTACTTACCTAGCTAACCCAACTCACAGCTCATCAGCCACTCTAAAGTATACATCAGCAACACCGATTCACGGATTCACAGGAAAAATATTTGGTCAAACTCTCAAATTAATCGTTTATATTGCTAATGCTAATTTAATGGCTTTGGTATACTGTATCACTTCTGCACATTGCAATTTGCACTGACCTTTGGGTGGCACAATTGCACACAGCCCATTCGTTGGTGGATCGGAGGATTGGATAGGGTCGATCGGGATCGCCGCGCATTACCGTTCAAATTTAATAGGTAGGTAATAACATAAAATTATAATAGGTAATGTAGCTTTCATAAAATATCAAATTATTAAAGTTTTTTTCTGGGGGGGGGGGGCCTAGCGACGTCTGGGGGGGGGGGGCCGGCCCCCCAGGCCCCCCTGTAGTTACGCCACTGTTCAGAAGTCGCAAGTTGTTCAATCATTTGCCGTCGGGTTTTAAACAAATAAAGATTGAACGACAGTTTCGTAGAGGCGTCAAGGCGCTGCTTGCCCAAAAGATATATTACGAAATTGACGAATTTCTGGCGGAAAGATTTTAGATTTTTTTTTCTGGATTGTTCTGTTTATAGTGTGCGTTATAGTTGTTAATTTGTTTTATTGTTCAAACTTCTGAGTCCGTTGTCTATTTTTTACTTTTGTTTTATTTTTTAAAGACGACTGAAAATGACTGATTTTTAGTTTTTAAGGCAATAATAATGGTAGATTGTGATAGGAACAGTATTGTTGTAATGTAGTACTTAAGGCTTTTAAAAGATTTTTTCTCATGTTATGATTATGACATAGTATAAGTTCTGATGTTAGTTAATAAGGCTGCTTTGTCAATAACAATTTAGTTGAGACAATAAAGCATAATTTGATTTGATTTGATTCACGCATAAAACGTCAAATTGTCGAAGATTGTCAAAAAAGAACGAATTTCGCGGTTATGAGTACTAGGCCTAACACTCAACATGTCAAATTAGCACTTGACACTAAACACTTGGGGCGAGTTCAGAAATAACACACCGGGTGTGAGTGCGATTTTATGGGTGTGCCGGAATTGACAATTCTTAGGCGACAACTTTCGTATGAATTTCTGAACGCTTGGTGTGACCAATCGAGCATGTCCTCAAAACATTTTACCAAATGTATTAAGATTCCTTTTTTTTTGTTGTTCATTTTTTTAATTTGAAGAAAAAACTTTAATTCTTATTTGTGTTCTGTTTATATTTGGTTTGGTGGGATCAATGGGATTATGGGAGGAATGGTCGACATTGTCGACATGATGACACAACCACACCCCAGTCACACCAAAAAATAATGGTGTGACCGGTGCGACACCTGGAGCGCGCCCGAAATACTTTCTGAACGGAACAGAGTGGCGCACTCAGTGTGCCTATAGCATTTATGAACGGCTAGTGCGTCGCACCGGTGTCACACTCACACCGAGTGTGTCATTCCTGAACTCGCCCCTGCAATAAAGTAAAGGTCAGTTTACACTTTGATCAGTAGCAAGTGCAAGTAGTGTTTAGTTGTAAACGGATCTTTCAAGTGATTAGGCGGTTACACACGGACGTGGATGTCTGAAAACATGTACCATCGTCACCAAAAGTAACTGGGACACAAATAATGCATAATAATCTCCTGGACTAATTCTACTGTCATTCATTTCAATGCATTTAATTAGGCAATTCAAACCACGTGACAATCAAGATGGCGTGGCGGCCACACATGAGCCAAAAAACACAAAAAAATATCTAGTTTCTACCCGATTTAATAGTTCAGGTTCCTAGTCAACAAATATTTTATTAAATAATCAAAACCAAAGTTGCAAACCAAATTCTAAGCAAAATAATTTAAAATAAGCATAAAAACATAATCGAAATAAACTTGCTTGGCTGCCACGTCATATTGAATTTTCAATTTTGACAGATGGATTGAATTGCCTAATTCATAGTTTGACAAATATTTGACAATAAAATTCATATAATAGGACAAGAGCTAATGTGATGCTGTCCCAGTTACTTTTGGTGACGATGGTACGCACATACATGAACGCACAAACAAAAACATCAATGTGTATGCAAAATACCGTCGCGTTTTTGAATGTGCAATCGCTAGAAATTTTGTATGCACACTCCGAATACTGTAGCAAGGGGCGCTTACACACGGACGTGGATGTCTTAATACATATACGTGCATACATCAACGTGCAAACAACAACGTGCATGGCGCTTTTGTACAGACGCTCGCACAAAACTGCAGTCTTGCTATTCTTGCTACAGTATTCCGAGTGTGCATACAAAATTGCACATTCAAAAACTCGACGGTATTTTGCATACACATTGATGTTTTTGTTTGCGCGTTCATGTATGTGCCTACATGTTTTCAGACATCCACGTCCGTGTGTAACCGCCTAAGAATAGCAAGACTACAGTTTTGTGTGAGCGTCTGTACAAAGGCGTCATGCACGTTTTTGTTTGCACGTTGATGTATGCACATATATGTATCAAGCCATCCACGCCAGTGTCTAACGTGCAAGTAAATTAAATTGTATTCTATTTTTCTGTTTTAAGGCTGCGATAATGGCCGCCATGTTTAAATTTAATTTTGAAAATGACGACTGCGTCATTCTACACATAGGGTTCAATATTTTATTATTTGTCCAAAAAAAATCTGTATATCGGTGAAACACTTAGTGATAGAGAAAGACAAATATACAATTATGATGCTCCCAATGTAGCTTTTTAGCCGTGGCGCCATCTACTTGAAATTGCTTGAACTGTTTTCACCTTCAAAATTCGTTTTAAGGTCATATCAAAAAACCCGCAATAATTTCCAAAATCCTTTGGCATAAACATTAGTTGATATATTATCTACAATCTCTACAATTAGCTTTTTTTTAGTTTTTCGTGGTTATCAATAAAATATGCTTTTCAGGGATCCAAGCGTGATAAACATGCAAATATGCAACCACCAACACATTTAATTATTTTGGTGGTTGGAACATGATTTTTGAATTTAAAAAAAAAGGCTGAATATCGAAAAACCAAAACAAGGAATTGTAGATAATCGTTCAAATAATGTGCATGCCAAATTTGAGCCAATTCTGATGTGCCGTTTTTTTGAAGACCTTAAAACAAGTTTCGAAAAATCAACCTATCACAGTTTAAACATGGCGGCCATTAACGCGACCTTAATAACACTCAAGCATGACAAATTAACACTTGACACTAAACACTTACAAATAACAAAATGTAAACCGGCCTTTAACCAATGAGAGGGCGTTTTCAGTCACATGATTTTTAGTTTCTATTTTTTTTTAAATTTTTATTTATACTTTAATTATTAACCTGACTAAAATCTTCCAGAATATTCTTCATTATAGTTGTATAAATTACTTACCAAAAAATAAGCCTCTTGAAAGTCCCCATAAGAAGGATATTTAACATACTTCCCCACTAAATTGTGTGGAGCATATGAATAACTGCAATGACTATTGTACTTGGAACTGTAATGAACGACTGCATGTGCGTACTGTTCCAAATATCGCATTTTTAATGAATTTTCGATTGGTAGAAATGTCCTACTTTTCGTTGCCATTATTGTAGAAAGATTTTTAACTCAAAAATAGAATCAAAAATATTATTTTGTTGATAATTTGTTTACATTTGTCGTCAGCTGATTATCAAAGTATCAAAGTCAGCTGATTTAACAAGGGGCAAGTTCGATAACTCATTTGGTTGTGTTCGGTTTGCTTACTCTGAGCTCTCGAATTACTCCGCCTGTTCATGTATGGCTTATTACTTTGAAACTTAAGACGATTTCGCCACGTTTTGGTTGGTAGGTGAGTTGGTTAACCGCTAGGTAGGCTCTTCGTCACAACAGTGACGTCGCATACCATTTTCAGCCGAAATCGGCCGGTTAGTCAAATGTCACGTGTATGACGTGATGATGATGGTATGCCTGAAAAAATAAAAATAAACAAACTACTGAATACTTTTTATTGTGGGAAATTAAAATTGGGATTGGTGAAAATTAATTGTGTTTATTTCTTGTATTTAATTTTAAATATAAACAAAAAAGTGAGGTTAAATTACTCCAAGTTAGAAAGAGATAGCAAGCTACCAATTCAAATAACCGTGCTCCAAGCTCGGTACCCAATTTGACATACCAAAATAGATACCAAAGTTATCATGACGTCATTGTTTTTCGTGCCGAAATTGGTTGGTACATTTTTAACCAACCAAAGAGGGTTACCAAAACGTGGCGAAATCGTCTCTAGCACTGATATTTAATTATTCATTATTTCAAAGATAAATTGCTAGAAATAAATAAATACATATTCTGAAGCGAGAAAATCGGCAATTTATAGCTATTTACCTAACAAGTGCAGGAAAAACATTTTCCGCAAGTATTATAGCAATGAACTACAGCTAAAAACTGGAATGCGCACACAGTGCCATATCTGCCAAAAAAATGAAGCCATGAAAGACAGATGCCACAACGGGGAATGTTGTTTTTTTCTGTTGCTCGCTGACATATGACGTTTTCGAAAGTTTTGTCATATTTCCCTTCACAGGTTTCAATCAATTGACCTTTTGTTTGGACGCCATATTGCGGTGCGCGAACATAGTTGCCAAAAGTAGAAAAAAAAACACTAGAGTACTGTCAACATTAAAAACAAAAGTTACTGAATAAATTACATTTAAAATTTAAATTTGCCGCCTATTACGAATGTTTTTGGAAAGAAAAGCCATCAATTTTAGCTTGTATTGGGCAGAATAGAAATAATAAAATATCTACCTATTCACTTTACCAAATTTCGGTTTCCTTTCTCAAGCCTCGTACTCATAACCGCGAAATTCGCTTTTTTTTGACATTGCTTCGACAATTTAACGTTTTGTGGGTGAATCAAACGTCAAATTTTCGAAGCAATGTCAAAAATGAGCGAATTTCGCAGTTACGACTGTTACGAGTACTATAGGCTTTATTGTTTATAGAATCAAAAAGGGAAGTAAATAAACAGAAAGGATAGCGAGGATCAATCATTTAGTTACTTTTGTTTTTAATGTTGACAGCCCGTTAGTAATTTCTGTTTTCTTCTTTTGGCAGCTCTGTTCGCGCACCGCAATATGGCGTCCAAGCAAAAGGTCAATTGGAATACGTGTTGGAAGCAATTTTCGCCATTTAACAGAATGAGTGCGACAAAAACGTATCCCCTCCGCAGCAGCCGCACTAGGCTTCACGTTCGTCCTTATGTGTTAGCATTCCAGTTTTTGGTTATAGTTCATTGTATTATAGATACAATAGTTTTTCTACAGATTTGCAGAAGTAAGTATGCCTTCATTAATAGTTTTTATTTCTACGGCCCTTCAAACTATCAAACGAGAAACGTGCTAGAGCCGAATGAAGTTGTATTCCTTTCAAGAGTCTGGAACACTCGAGTTACTCGCTCCGGTGTTAGTCGACCCCGATTTGAAAGGAAGAGATGCGTGGTGCAACAAACACTTTTCTTGAGAAATAAGCGCGTAACGCCCCGGAGCTGTTCCGGAGCTCCTCCTAGGTGTGAAAGGAATACAACTTGTCGTTCACTCGTTCCTTGAGTCTTCCTTGGAGATCGTGAGTTTAGAATGGACTGAATACTTGTTAATATTATATTTGACAAGTTATTCAACAAATTCGGCTCTTAACTTGCGTTCGGTATTATGCTCAAAGAGCAGATCGTGCAGAGCCGATCCGCAATCACGTGACCAGCGAGCTCACAGAGCAGTTAAACGCTGTATCAGAGAGCTCGAAATTGTAATAAACGAACGTGAATAAGCCAGGGTAGGGATTCTAAAATCACGATTCGACACACGACTCGACAACGATACCGGCCCTGTCGTCTCGAAAGGTATGATTTTAATGAGATTCTAACCTAGAATCGTCGGAAAAATCGTCTCGTTATCGAATCGTGTGTCGAATCGTGATTTTAGAATCCCCGACCTGCACCGAGTACACTTTTCAAATAAACGAACGGTAAATTCATGCTCGGAGAGCTCAGATCAAAATACCGAACGCACGGATAGTAGTACAGGGGTGCGTTCAAAGACGGCGATGCTAATGCCAAAACCTACTTTTCCCCTTCTACCGGCGATGCCAAATCTGGTGTGAATTCGCTGGAACGCCAAATACCGTTTCTCAATAAGCAATCCAAACCACGTGACATTCAATGGCGTGGCGACCATACATGGACCAAAAAACACAAAAAATATCTAGTCTCTGCCCGACTTAATAGGTTACGTAATTAGTTAACAAATATTTTATTGAATAATCAAAATCGAAGCTGCAAACAAACAAAATGATTGAAATATGCATGAAAACACATAACTTGCCTGGCGGCCACGCCATATTGAATTTGGTCTCATCCAATTAAAATTCGTATAACCATTTCTAGACTCAGTTGAAAGAGCCTCCAAAAGTTACTTTACCGCGGCCGATTTGGAACGTGTAAAGCCAACCGTTTTTGGCACGCTGGAGCCGAACTTGAACGCAATATGCCAATTTTGGCTCGGCTTCAGCCGTTTTTGAACGCAGCCCAGGGCTGCGTTCAGGAATGGCTATAGCCAAGCCAAAATTGGCATTTTGCGTTCGAGTTCGGCTGAGGGTTATTGGTTATAAATGTCACCCCCCTCCAAGAATCGTAACCCCCCTCTATCTTTTTTATTTGACATTTTAGAAAAAAGTGTCCCAAATAAAAGTTTTATGGTTGAAATTAAATTTTTTGAAAAACTCCCTTTCGCATATACAGGGTGTTTCAGAAATGCTGGTCGTGCTCCAACTTTCTTATTTTAAATGTCCCTGTATATTATTGAATATTCGGATTCTACGTAAAATTCTGTGAAGATTTCATATGATATACCCTATACCTAAGTTCAACTATTTTGGAAATATTGACAGTTGAAAATTGACTTTTTTGCAACTTTGACAGGCTGTGAAACCTAAACGATTAATCTTAGAGCAAAACCAAACTTACATTTTTTTCTTAGATTTTCATAAGCTATGATTTGACACCAACTTTAAATTTAACCGGAGATTAAATTTAATTTGAATTTTTAATCATGGATTAAATTCAATGTTGGTATGTCAAATATCAGTGTCAACTGATAGTTTATGAAAATCCAAGATAAAAACATAAGATCGGTTTTGCTCTAAAATTAACCGTTTAGGTTTTACAGCCTGTCAAAGTTGCAAAAAGTCAATTTTCAACTATCAATATTTCCAAAACAGTTGAACTTAGGTATAGGGTATATCACATGAAATCTGCTCAAAATTTTATGTAGAATCCGAATATTCAATAATATACAGGGTATTCCATTTAAAATAAGAAAGTTGGAGTGCGACCAGCTTTTCTAAAACACCCTGTGTATGCGAAAGTGAGTTTTTCAAAAAATTTAATTTCAACCATAAAACTTTTATTTGGGACACTTTTTCCTAAAATGTCAAATAAAAAAGATAGAGGGGGGTGACATTTATAACCAATAACCTACATCGAAAGTGACGACTGCTTTTGTATGATTTACCGTGGGACAAAATATTAAAATTCGAATAACCTTGCGAAAAAAGTTGGACTTTTCAAAAATTTTTTGAATTACACTGACTCTGCTCCAACTATTGCAGTGATTCTGCTCGAACTGTTTCGACCCTGCACTGACTCTGCTCGAATTGAATCAACTGATCAACTTGCACTGACTCTGTATTCAATGCACTGAATCAGCATGAATTGAACTAAAAAAAATATAACTTATTTTCACTAGCTGCACTAACTTTACACTAACCGCATAGAGTGAGTAGAGTGACCAAACTTCATTATTTCTCATTTTGACGTTACACTTGAATAATGTCAGATGTCACCGATGTCATGTGACATCATAACCTTGCTTTTTTTTTCCAAAATTTGAAATTCGATTTGTTTGTTGAGAAATTTCAATCAAAACAATAAATTACCAATTTTTCTACTCAGAGTCTGAGAAAAAGCAAAATGAAGCGAAGTGAAAAAATGACCAGTTCCAGTTCTATGTTTCTCGATGTGGATCCAACAATCGTTGAGAATAATTTACGTATCACAGTAAGTTATCAAATCATTGCTTTCCAATTTATGAAAACTAACATTACTTCTTCTGCTATTTGATATTTACATTTATAGGGAGAGAGAAAATAAAATATTTGTGCCAGAGCAAGTGCCAAAGTCTTTTTCATTTAATTCAAAAATCAACCTTAAGATATTGGACGAGCTTAGATTCTAAATCCAAATTTCACATTAATCTAGAAACTAAAATATCTTATGGGTAAAAAAGTAGGGGCCCCAATCAAAAATTAGTTGGCTTTTCCTTTAGTTTTCTCAGAAACCTTCAAAGATTTTTAGGGACAAAGAATTAAGTTAATCTGAATTGTTTCTGCTGAACTTATACTCAAATCCTCTGAATATTCTATCAAGACATGCAAAAACTTTGAGGTTTTTGAAATTTTTAGGCACAAGGCTTTCAAAAACCCAAGGCTGATTAACTTTAAGGAGTTAGTAGTCTGAAGCAAAGCCTCCAAGAATTCAGAGTTTCCAAGTATCTTGACTAAATGCAAGACTCCAAAAGCTTTCAAGTCTCATTTATCAAGATTTTTGAATCTTGAATTAATTACTCACCTTATTTTTCAGCCGAATGAGGAAGCTGAATTTGACAAGATATTTGGTAATCGGACCAAAGAACCTGCTGTAAAACTAGTGAGGCCTCATCCAGGTAAGTCCAAATATGTAATATTGAAATTATTATATAGCAAAAATTAATTTTAATTTGCTAATATTGGAAATTCATTTCCAGGTTTGTGTCTGAAAACAAGGGAATTAAACACTGACAAAAAAGTGTTTATTAATATTTGCACCACTGACGCAATTCCCCCGCCCAAAGATATCACTGAACTGGAACTTGTACGAGTTATCAAATCTGACGATGCTGACACCTTTAAGTAAGGAACTAACTTTTCAACTTGATTCTTTTTTCCAAGTAGCTTAATCAATAATTATTTTTTTAAAATTTTAGTAAAAATAATAATCAAAAATATTTTATAGAGTTCCCATGAGCATAGGAGAAGTCAGAACGGAAAAAGACAAGAAAGGAAATGAAGCCAAAGCAGTAGACATTGCAATCAATACGACTTTTTTCCGTAAAGTTCGAGATAACTGTATTTTTAGAAATTTCGTAGTTGAAGTAATGTCCCAAGGAATAAGCCAAAAACATGGTAAGAACTTTCCCAAATGTTGCTTTTTGAATTAATAAAATAAAGAACATAAGAATATCATATTGTAGATAGTTTACTGAGATATTGAAAACAAAAATTACAATTTTATTGATTTTTAGGTCTAGAGTGCGCTTCTGAAAAAATAATCTTCAATAACCGCAAAGCCTTTGGTACTCTACAAACTCATTGTATCCAACAAAGAGAAATTGACGAAAAAATGGGTAAATCAGGAGATTCGTCGCTTATAAGTGAATTGACAGGAGAAAAACCCGTAGAGAAAAAAGTAGTTATTGAAACATTGTCATCAGTTGAAAATACCACCAATAAACAACCAGAATATCGATTGTACAGAAAAAAAGTAGGACCTACTTGTTTGATTGGCGAGTTTAGACTTCCCGAAGTTGTAAGTCAAAATTTTTAGTTGAAACTTCTTATTTTGCTCAATTTTGTTACAGATATCCGCCTCAAATGTTACCTTGGATGTGGGCGAAGATCGTATTGTTTTAGAATCAAAATCCAAAGGATATCTTTTGGATATTTTTGTGCCTTATCGTATCCGTAATGAGCGATGTACCTCAACATTTGATAAAGCTTCCAAGGTGAGTTAAAGGCAATTTGATTGGGAATTTTCAATTAATTAATTGTCCTGAAATTTTATTAAGATATTTACTCAAAATCATCTTTTATACTCAAAATCATCTTTTAAGTAGGCAATTCTTTCAATTTTAATAAAAAACTGATTTTTTTTTCTATTTCAGATTCTTACCCTTGAGATGCCTCTGCTTGGCGGTTAATTTATTGAAAGTAATTTAGTTTAAGATATTTGAATTGATAATTATTATTACCTAGTGATTGCACATTGTGTGTTTTTTACCTATTATCATAAATATGTAATTGTTTTGCAATATATGGAATTTCTTTCAAAAAATGTTTTTAAATAAAATATCTATGTATTAGGTATGTGTTTTTTCTTTTAATTTCATCAATTTCACGTCACTGTTCTCTATACATCCAAAATCAAGAAATTAAGTTTAATATACATTAAAAAATCTTAAATAAACCAAAATCTACATCCTTGGGTCGTTTTTTTTTTTAGAAAATTTGGTTTTACATACATATCCCAAAATATATAATGTTTAGGTAATAATTTGTAATTTTTTGCCTAACCATATAAATGAAAAGTCCAAAAACAAGAATATTTTTTATGTGGATTTTGATTTTATGCCCAAAGACGCATTTCACACATTTCAATTAGACAAAAATTAAATAATAAAATGATTTCAAATTGATATAAAATTTGACCTTAGTTTGAAAATCAATAAAATTAAATATGTAGATATACCTGCTACTAATACACATTAAATTAAACAAGTTGGGGCTATTATTTTCTAAAAATATGAATAAAATAAAAAAACTGCGAAAATAAATTAATTCATCCGTTGGAGTAAGGATCTAAGACCTCGCCATTATAAACCCCTTTCCTATAAATCTACTAATTTGGATTCTATTTATCCTACTAATAGTTTCATTGTAACAGAAATGCTTCTGTCTGAAATTAACATTAAGTTGTCTTTCTACTTAATTATTGATGAGTAGCTCTATAGTTGTTTTTAGTATCATACTATTCATTTTACTTTTCATGACAAGATTTCGCTTTGCTGTTCTTTGAACCTGTTAAACCAGTTGAAACACATAATATTATAATACCTCTTTGAAATTTTAACTCGGCAATTTAAAATTTTATCTTTATAATAAACACATTTTTTGCAAACATATTATATTAATTCCTTCTTGATGGATATAACTTAGTAGGTATTGATCATTTTCAAACTGTGGTGCTTAATAAATATAAAATGTGCAATATGCTTATTATTATTCAAATTTATTGACATTATTTAGGCTATTTCATTGGAATTAATGAATTACAATATTTTTCTCACGATCTTATTAATAACTATGTAAATTGTTGTCAACAAAATCCTTATTTAAATATGACCTCAAGTAATAATATTAAACATATTGGTCATTTTTGTATCAAAAAATTTATATTATACATTAAATTTCAGACAATGCAAGAAAAAAATTTGTTTGGAAGAAGAAGTGGAACAATTCAACCGTTAATAATAAAGTTCTGAATTTCCTAACATTGACAAAACCTCTATTTTGGAATTTTTCACTTAAAAACTACCAAAAACGCAAAAATGAAATTTTGACGATCTATTCTTGAAGGTTTGAGGTGAAACATACTGAAAATTCAAGGCAATCGAACCACTAATCACAAAGTTATGAATTTTCCAAATCGGGTCAAAATAAACATTGACAAGCTTCTATTTTGGAATATGTAACTCAAAAACTACCGAGAGCGCAAAAATAAAGTTTTGAGAATCTATTCTTGAAGGTTTAAGATAAAACATACTAAAAATTCAAAGTGATCGAACCGCTAATAATAAAGTAATGAATCTAATGTTATTTAACATGTTAATTCCAATATTTATAAAATACCTAGTCATTACAGAAATTACTCATTTTTTTCACTATAGTTAAATTTTTTCTATCAAACTTTCCTTTTGATTATTTTGTTATGCTTGAAATAATTTTACATGTTTTTCGTTTTTCCAACATCGTGTATATGTATGTATGTATGTATATGTTGGATGTGTCAGTTGCACTGCGACCAAGGTTGATCTATTGTACCCCTCCCCTCCTTCTGCTGCTAAGTTCGGGTTTCCTGCTTAAAGCAACCCCTTTAGTCCTAGGTCCTTTAGGAATTTTAGGATGTCTAGCGGTTCCAGGGCTGGAATTTCTTCCAGCTGTATAAGGGGACTTCCCAAGTTCTTGATTCTTGAGCGGCTTACGGCATTGCAGTTCAGTAGAAGATGGTGAGGTGTTTCTTCACCGTCTTCACAGAATCTGCAAGTGTTACCTTCTTCCAACCCCAGATTATATAGGTGCTTATTCAGTCTGCAATGTCCCGAGAGAAACCCGGTTAGAGTTTTGAAACTTTTCTTGCTAAGGTTGACCAGCAGTTCAGGGCCGGTATTCTGGTTCTCAAAAACGCTCACCGCTTTCTAGTCGCTCGGCACTTTAAATGCAAATTTACATTGAAAGTGCCGAGCGACTGAAAAGCGGTGAGCGTTTTCGAGAACGAGAATACCGGCCCAGATCTTTTTTGGTTGTAGCTACCCAGTAGATCTTTAGCCTGTCGTAGTCCTGGTTGGTCTAGCCATTGTTTGTTCCTTAGCCGGTTCTCTTCCTTTTTGAGGACAGTCAGCCTTTCAGTGTAGCCCTGCCATTCTCCGTCCCATTTGGCTCTGTTAAAGAGACAGCGAACCTAGATCTAAGTCGTGACAGGTGACTATTCCACCAATGGGAAAACTTTTTTGTTAACTTGTTCCTTCACAGGACAACTGGATTCGTATGCCTCCATGATTGCTCCGTTAAGGATTTGAAGGGTTTCTTCTACTTCACGTGTGTTCCTGCAGTTAACCTTATTTTGTTTAAGGTTGCGTTGCAGTTTGCCTGTGTATTCTTCCCAGTTTGTGTTTCTGGGGTTTCTATATGAGGCAGTTCGTTCCTGCACTCCTTTTACTTCAAATATTATGATTCTATGATCAGAGAGAGAGAGAGAGAGACTCTCCAATACCTGATCATTTGGTCAATATTTGGACTACAAAGTGTGTGTTATGTCTAACACCTCCTGTCTGACCCTAGTAACAAATGTTGGTGTATTCCCTACATTAAGTATATTTAGGTTTGTTTAAAAGATAAGTCTCATCGTCCTTGCAGCCCATTACTTTCCACAGCTGAGTGCTAAGCCCTTCGTTTTGGGTGTTCACCAGGCTTAGGATTTCAAGGGGGTCTTGCCCTTTGCTTCTTGGGAAGAAGACTGTGATGGGGTGCGCCTTGGGGATGTCGTCTCCCAGGCACACCATCAGCTCTCCTCCCTACCAGGTTTCCAACCTGGGGACGTGTTCTATCAGCCACTCAACTGTTTCTTTGGTGAGGCAATAAATCACCAGCATGCTTGGTCGGAAATGTATGCCTCCAAATTGGAGTTTATGTTCCGCCCCTTTCATCATTTCCTCCACAATGGCGTCCTGTAGGGCAGAAAGTTTTTCTGCACTGAGGGTTTCCTTAGGGAATGCCGCGGGGAGTGCCCAAGTAGCACATAATATTGGGTAAACATCGTTTTTCAGTTGGGCCAATATTTATTCATTTTTGTTGCTAAATCAACACAGTACCAATATTGGGGCAACGTTGGTTTTAACTATGTGGATACAATATTTTAAAAAAATCTTGCACCAATATTGTATTCATAGATTAATTAACTTTTCAGTAATTTGAATATTGGCCCAAGACTTCTCACTACAATATTGATTTATGAAATATTGGCCAAATATTACATTTTATATTATCGAAACAATATTGTATTATAATATTAATTCAATATTGGCGATCAATTTTTATTGATATTTAAATTCACTTCAAAAATTTGTACACCCAATATTTATTTTCAATTTTTTCACAATATTGATACTTTTTGAAAAGCCCAATAAAGGGCCAATATTTACATACTAATTTTCACCAAGGTTAGATCTTCTGAATTGAAAATGTTGGTCCAATATAGGGTATTCAATGTGTTTTCGGAGTTCTGTCAAGGAATCAAGTGAGGAAAACAGACTTTCCGCACGAGTTAAGAATTAATATTTACACATGTATAATTTCGGATATTTTTACATTTCCGCAATATAGGGTGACCATATTTTTTTTGTATGAATGCTGTACACATCTCAAATTTTGGGACAGGTGAGTGGAGAAAGCACTAAATGCAAATTTTGTCAACTTTACAGCCCATTTTAGTACCACTGTTCGCACAGAAATCACAAACCAGTCAGAGTGAACTTCATTGGTTGAAAACCTTAATGGTTGAAACCAAGCTTGTTTGAAAGAGGTAGTATGATTTGATCTGGATGCCTAAACATAATACAAATCTCCATTAGATCTTCCCCATGACGTCATCTGTTTACCATTACCAGACAACCTATTAACTTTAGGTCTGTTTTTGCAGAAATCACAAACCAGTCAGAATGAATTTCATTGGTTGAGAACAGTCAGAAAACTATTTTCAACCAATGAAATTCACTCTGACTGATTTTTGATTTTTGCAGAAACGGGCCTAGAAAGGAACCTTGGGTTGAAACTAGTTTTCTGACTATTTTCAAATGATTTTCAACCAATGAAGTTCGCGTTGACTGTTTTGTGATTGCTGCAAAACAGACCTATTTTGCTACAAAGGTAATTAGCATTAAGGGAGGGTATTATAAAACTTCTTTGAGAATTAACTTAAAGTTAACTTCTGAAATTACATGTAATTCAAAAAGTTAACTTCAAGTTAACTGTCAAAGCAGTTTTATAATACCCGCCCTAAAAAGAATACTCTGGGAGATGTTGGCGTAAATGTGGAAATTCCGCGTGTTGTGCGTTTTTATTCTCATCGGTGGATTCACGGATGAGTTAGCTATCTTTGTTTAGTGAATGGAAAATGACAATGACCGACATAGAATGGTGGATATCGGTAAAATTTGATGAGAATAAAAACGCAGGGAATGTCGTTAATAATAATTGACGGACAATTTTTCATAAATTTTTTTAAAGAAAAACCTCATTATGATCGGATCTCGAATCCGAATCGCTGTACGTTTGCTGTACAAAATCAAATGCTGGACAGACTTTGAAAATGCTGTACAATAAAGCGAAATGCTGTACGTATGGTCACCCTACGCCGCAATACCTTCCAATATCAGACATTTTAACTTTTTCGCGCTAGGGTCCGACAGAGAGTCGGTCCTTATAATTGGTCCGTTACCTTAATTAAATATAATATAAAGCCAAGATTTACATACGTCTTCGGGCTAATATTGGTAATTTTAATTGGCTCTATATTGCATA